AACTACAAACTTTTTATCTTGAAGTAATTGGGTAAAACCAGATATAAACTATGAAGAAATGAACCCACAAGGCTTTAGGGCTAACTCATTCAATCCTCCTTAATCTCTAAGGTCAACTCATTTCATATCTTGTCTTCACTCTAATCTTTTATTCGTTGCTTCTCCCTAAATATATAGGTAAGGAGATGTCTAGGAAAACAATAGCATAAATCTACATGATAACATACCATGACTATGAGTTAAACCGCTTTTCTGTCATCGAGTGAAGTGCTTTAACTTCAAACTCGATTCCCTAAAGTTGGTCCACAACAACTACAACTCATCTTTTGGCTTTCTGATTCATATGAATAGCACTTATCAAGCTACATATATAAATACTATTGTAGGGTTTTAAATAATTTTTTAACCCGTTTAAACGCAAGGCAAAATAATTTTAGGTTACGTTATTTGGAAAAACTTTTCCGGGAAGAAATCCTAAGCCGGATCCAATGACATTTAAAACAAATCTAAAACAAACCATGGGGTGTTTTATAGAATACCTTTTGAGATCTGATGTAGGTTCTGACGAAGCATTTAGAAATCAAATCAGATTTCCTCTATCAGAGATCCATACACGAACACGCATTGGCCTCTACCGGGTGCTAGCCCAAAACCCTAATGTAATATGTGTTTATACAAAAGAAAGAAAAAGTTCCTTTTTCTATTTCTTACTAATCTTTAATAAATCTAAAAGATTGGTTATTCTTTTAGACTTAGGCCCATCACCTTATTTATAGTGGATTTCATGAATTATAGATTTACTATAATTCAAATAAGGTTTTGTATTTATCTCGCTGTGTGTGTGTGTGTATATATATATATATATATCATAAACATAATTTATATATATACACAAACACACACACACATATAATCCCGGTAATTATCATAATTATGGGGTATAAAAAATACTTTGAATCATACAATTTCGATGTTATACTAATTTTTCCTTCATACGATTCCTTAAAGTTGGGCAGCTAGGGTTTATGTCAACAGTGATGAGGCATGAAGGCATGGAAGAAAGGTACTCAAACTGTAAAATCCAAATGCAGTGTATATTAGATTTTCATTAGTGATTGAACTAGAAAGGAGCAATTCTCATGAATGACCTTTTTACATCATAGTAGCTCTCAACTTGTATATTGGAGCCAAGTCGCATATTTCTCTAATACATTCCAACAATGTTGGAAACAAGTTCGGGAAGAAGAGAGATTAAAAAAATTGCTTCACTGTCGTAATTTTATAGGAGTTTGGCGTTCCAGCCTTATTGTTGATCATCCTTTTCAGGAATTCGGACTTCCAAGTCAAGTTGCCACGTTTTCAAAGGTGGGCTCACAAATGATTTGTTTATCATGTCTCTTCAGCTGTCACATCAATAATATTTTATTTATGAAATATATATATATATATATATATATATATATACACTATCTTATTAAGCAAATTTTGCAAAAGTCTTAAAGTCTTAAAATACTAAATGACCAAAATACCCTTTATACTATCTTACCTCACTTTTTCACTTTTTTACCTTCTCCTCTCCTCACATACACTCACCCCCTCATATACACTCAGGGCTTGTTTGTTTTTTGAAAAAAACCACTTAATGCCTCTTAAGTCTGAACCGGTCAGACGTTTTTATTTTCAGACCGTTTGTTTTTTTATATAAATAAGAGCTGAAAAGCTCTTAATTTGCTCTGAAAAAAAAGTCATAACATAATCACTTAAATCCTCTTAATCACTCCCTCCAGACTCTCCCCTCCATCTTCACCTCCAGATTTAGTCCTCCAAATCTATCTCGCAAGACATTCGATCTCCAAATCAATCACGACCCAGATCGATCCACATATTCTCGTAAAATCATGACCCAGATCGATCCAAATCTATCAGATCCGAAACTTGACTGATTCAGATTTCAGATTTCAGGCGTAAAAACAAACAGTCTGACTGATTCAGATTTCAGACGTAAAAACAAACAGTCTGACTGATTCAGATTTCAGACTTCAGTACCACCTCTTAAAATTCAGAAGTGAAATCAGACTTCAGACTTCAGAACCTCTTAAAAAACAAACATCACCTCAGCCTCTCGCAACCATTTTTCTAAAACTATAATTTTAAATTTATACTTTATACCCCTATAATTAATTAATTAATTTACTTTACGTCTTTTACTTTTAAATGTTTCATTTTAAACATTTATCAAATTAACATACATAATCGTATATCAATTAAAACATGTTTAAAAAATACATTTTTATTTTAACAAGTTATACCATTATAAT